CAGTTACCATACTTATGATTGGTGTTTTAAAATCTGGTTCAGGCATATTACTTATATCTGTTTTAATTAGATCCCTGATTAGAGCTGAATTTTTGTAGCACTCTGTGATCAGTGGACTTGGTGTGTGTGAGGGGTTTCTGCTGGCCTTCTGGGGAGGGTGTCCTGTGCTGGTTCTCAGGCTGACTTGCCCTGGTAAAGATGCACCTGCAGAGCACAGGGGCTGGAGCTTGGTGTGAGTGGCTCCAGCCTCCTCGAAGGGGCACTGTGTTGCTCATGAGGTCTGTAAGTGCTGATGGGTTGGGGTCGGGGGGGAATGGTGATGCGCAGCTCTTTTATCCCCAGAGCAGGAAGTTCATGCCTGCTACTGTTCAGAAAGCCCTCACAGAAGAGCAAACAATCTCCACTCAGGCCCTCATATTCTTTCAGATCCCTGACTTCACCCTGCCTGTGTCTGAGCCGTCTCCCTACTAGTCAGCAGAGTACTCCTGTGTTTTAGCTCAGGCATACGGCTGGGTTTCAACATTCCAAATTTTAGAGACCCACTGTGCTATGGACCCACGCCGTTCCTTTGTGGGAGGGTCTTGCTGTGCTGCAGCTGGTGCCAGTTGGTCCAGAAAAAGCATTCACATGTTCACACAGGGGCTCAGAGTTTATGATAAAGTGCAGCAAAATGTCGGCACCAAGCTTTGCTGTTTTCAGTAGGTGTTTCTGTTCCTATGCTAATGAACCAGGCAGGATGTTGGCACCCGTCATCTCTTTTGTCTGCTGAGAAGCCTTGCCACCCCTCCCAGATCCACTCCAAAAAGGGGAACTGTATCTTCCAGTGCGATCCTGGGGATCCTCAGACCACACTGTCTGCTCCTGGGCTTCTGCCCTCCTTCCCCATAGGAGCACTGTGATACCCACAAGGGTCCACCTGGCAGTGGCACGGATTTCTAAAACTTCAGACTTTGGGCTCCACTGCTTGTAAAAACTTGGAATAATCAGCTGCTGTAGTTTTCCCAGTCAGTCATTTTGGGAAGTGTTTCTTTTGGCAATCCCCTGCACTGTGCTTTCTATTTCTCCATCTCTGTCTTTCTTTCTCTCTCTGAGATCAAGGCTCCCTCCCTCCACAGCACCCACGATTCTTTTCTCCCCAGAATCACATTTTTGCAGTTCTTACCTTCTATGTTGTGGCTTCTTTTCTCCCTCTAGTTCTCAGTTTGTTCTCTCAGCATTACAACATATTTTTTTAGTGTTTGGAATGTTTTGATATTTATCTAGGTATGTTTGAGGGACAAGGCAATCACAAGGTCCCCTACTGCTCTGCCATCTTAACCCATATCCCTTTTTTTCCATATACACACACATACACACACACACACACACACACACACACATATATATAGTTTTATTTTAATTTATAGTTAACATATGGTATTAATGAGGGCTTCTAAATTCTTGCTTCTCACTTTATTCTGTGTGAGAAGAGGCAAGTGAAGATGTTGCCTGCCTTATGATAATGATACTTACATATACATTCACATATGATCCACAAAGTAATGCAGGATTGGTACTTTTCTCATGCTGTTAACTAAACAAGTTTAGCCCTTGAAGCAGTTGCCTTAGGATTTCATATTGAGGTTCAGAGATATTTAGGTGTCATTTGACCGACTCTGAGTTTTTAACTTGGTAAAATGGGACCACATTTATGGAAGTTATCTCAGATTACAGAAGGAACTAGTGGAGGATGGGACCACTAGGACCCGCGTCTCCAATTTCTTTTTCCTACGCTCCCTTGGAAAAGATGGCCTTGGGAAATAAACCATTCTCTGACCATACTAGATTACATTGCTGTTGGCTAAAATAACAATTTTGGCTAACTTCTGATCTTAAGCTTTTCAAATAATATTTTAAAATTTCTGTAATAAAGGAAAAATTAAGCTCTCTGGAAATCTAAATGTGATACAAATTTCAGCATTTTATTCATTTCATAAAAGAATCTGAAGTTACTGTTACATTGAGAGGCCCCAAATTCTTAGTCTATGTTTGAGTCATTTAAATGGCAGTAATTAAATTTAGAAAATAAATATTGAACCCTCAAAAGCCAGAGATGGGAGAAACTGTATTTAGAAGAACAGGACACTTAGTTGAAAGCTCATATCTGCTTTATCTGTCGTTATCAAATATGTTAGATATACATATCCTTTTGACTAAATCTAAGAAGTTGAATGATTGTATTCATATAAACTTGGCATTTTGTTAATTCTCTGATATAATATTAGAAACAGTTCCTGATAGAATGTTAATTATTTTTCTAATTAGGTAAGTGTCATGTACTCCTTCTAGAAAATATTGAGAAAAAATGAAGTTTGTGTAGAGTTTATATCAACCAAAATATCCTACTATCCAAGGATAACCCTTGTTAAAATGTTGGGATATTTGTGTATGTGTATGTATAACATGTTTTTTATTCTTATTACAATAAGAATGTATGTTCATCGTAGGGTGTTTAGAGACTATAAGTAATTAGAAGAAAGTGAAAATCACAATATGAAAACTGCTACAATAAATATACCATAATTCAAAAAAATTTTTGCCCTACCTTTGAACTTTTAGGATATTAGTATATAATATTTTAAGAATATGAATGATACTTTGGTTCTGCAGAAATAACTATCAGGTTTAAGCCATACTAAAAAATAAGTATGCTATGTTTTGACTTCTCATATTGGGAGAGTTTCAGGAGGACTGGATTAGTCAACAGTTTGCAGAGGGTTTAATGAACTTGAACTTAGGAAGGACCCCTGACGTTGGCATAGGGGGAGGAGTGAAAAGCAGCAAGGCTTTAGGAGCTAAAGAAGTTAGGGAAGAATGGTAGCATTTATAGACCACTTGTGCGTACCATGTGTCAAAAAATAAGAAAAACTAAGTCGAAAACTAAGAATAACTTGAAGCAGCTATTCTTTGGGCACCAACGTTCTTTTAGTGATGAGTGGATATTTATGAAATTTTTTAGTGAGTCATAAGGGAACTGGTGGAGAGAGAAATTCATGATGCTATGAGGTAATCCCAGTATCTCCATTCCAGGCTGAAGAGTATAATTCACTTTGGGACTTTTGACCCCCATTTGGGTCTCAGGACACTTAGAGTCATTAGGCTTTCATTCAGCAAGTATTTAAAGAGCAGCTCATAAGTCCTGAGTGCTGAGGAGACAACCATAAACCATACATAGCAGAAATAAGATGTGGTTCCTTCCAAGCTTAACAAATGAATAATTGACTAGTGGCACATGAATTCTTTCATCTTTACCATAGGAAGTAATCTTAAAGATTTTATTTATTTATTTGACAGAGAGAAACACAGTGAGAGAGGGAACACAGGGGGAGTGGGAGAGGGAAAAGCAGACTTCCTGCCGAGCAGGGAGCTCAATGGGGGGCGTGATCCCGGGACTCTGGATTCAGGACCTGAGCTGAAGGTAGACGCTTAATGACTGAGCCACCCAGATGCCCCTAGAAGTCATCTTAGATGCACTCATGTTGTCTCTTTTTTTTTGGTAATTAATTTTTAAAGATTTCATTTATTTATTTTTGCGTGAGAGAGAGAGTGAGCACAAGCAGAGGGATGGGCAATGGGAGAGAGCAGAGCTAGAGAAGCAGACTCTCGACTGAGCAGGGAGCCTGATGTGGGACTCGATTTCAGGACCCTGGGATCATGACCTGAGCTGAAGGCAGGCACTTAACCAACTGAGCCATCCAGCTGCCCTTGTTGGCTCTGTCTTAAGTCACTCTAATAGGTCTGATTTTTGTTGTTGTTAATAGTGTGGTTTTGGCAGTTTCTGCCTTTTGAGTTTGAATTCTTGCTCTGTAACTTACAAAATTATATAATACTGAGCAAGTTACTTAAACCGAATCTTCTATTCTATAAATGAGCATAACAATACCCATCTATTAGAGTTGTTGTAAGAATTAAGTGGATAATAAATATGCAATATGAAACTTAATACCTGCTTCATCACAGGCTTTCAATGTTAGCTCCTGTGATGAAGATCATGGTGGTGGTGACAATGATTCCTTGGAGTCTAATTTGGTGTTTTGTCCCTAGTTCTGTCCACTTAATGTGACATGGCAAAAACAACAGAGATAGAGATAGATATCAGGAAACAAAAGGTTGATTGATTTGGAGTGGGTAGGATCAAAACAAGATGTGCCAAGTCCCACCCATTGTTGGAAGGAGGTCTCCTGAGCGATGTTGGTTTTTGGAAAGATAACTTGGTTTCATGGAAAAAATATTACACTGTGTCATTAGTCTTGAATTTCAGCTTGAGGTTCTAAGTCATTTGTTATTAGAAGAGTTAATACATGTGAAGTACCTAGAACAGTGCCTGGTACACAGAAAGTACTCTAAATGTTTCTGTCATTATAAACTGTTATCATTCATTCATTTAGTTTACCCATAATTTAACAAATATTTAGTGAGAGCCTGCCAGCTGCCAAGTTGCCTGCTAGACATGCTGGGTTCAGGGTGAACTAGATAATCAGTTGCCGTTTTGAAGACAGGGTCTAGCAGAGGGAAGGTCTGCTGTTATTGGTCAAGTCTCTAAGCCCTTCTGGGCCTTAATGTCTTCATCAATAAAATAAAGTTTGGCTGTCAAATCTTACAACAGTATCTTCCATTGACACTATTTTCCTGGCTGAATATATGCTGATTACTTATTTATTTACTGAATGTTTATTGATACCTACCATATGTAGGCCCTGTGCTAGGTGCTAGGAATATAGTAGTAACCAGAGCACAGAGCAGACACAGCATCTGCCCTCATGGAACATTAAGTCCAACGCACAAGGCACAGGTTGATTGGTTAGTGTTACAGAGGGGAAAATGCTAGGCTTGTGCTATTGATTTATGTGACAGAAACAAAATATATATATTACTCTTGATAGAAGATCCATTATAAAACATTACTCCAGATTTTTTCCCTCCCATTTCGTGAGTTTATATTGTCTTGTCTGCTTAAACAGGAGCTGCTGGACATCATGGAGACAACTTGGTAGAGAAGATCATCTCAGTTCTTCCCCAGCTTCCAGGCCACACCAACGATGTGATGGTTAACATGGTGGAGCTTACGGCACTCCAGAATGAGGAGAAAAATCAGAGTATGGTTGCACCAGGCTGTCTTGCACAATCCAAGTAAGATACACAGGTTTTTTTTCTTCTCTTGTCCTTCTCCCTCTTCCCTTTTCTATTTCCCTGAGGCCAACTGTTTCTGTAGGAGGGAAACAATGATTAGTTGGCCTGGTTGAAAAATTCACAGTGGATGACATTTAGAAAAAAGCATTTTTTCCCCCTAACTTTGAAATAACCCATACCGATTAAACCACAATAAACCAAAAAGTATGGAATTGTCATTTATAGAGATATCATTTAGATGTAATATTAGTTTGTTCTGAGAATCAGTTAGGTGAGTCAATTTATACATCTCCATTTCTCAGATGGTTTCACATGGAATTGAATCCAGGCTTACTCAATTTCTTTTTCCCAGTGGGCTTTTTCACACACAGCTATGAACCAGTGCCATCTTTCTACATGGAAAGGATATGCTCTGGGACATCAAGGAGAGGAGTTTTTATTTCTGTGTGTATTTTTCAAATGCTTAGAGAAATCAGAAAAAGAAGATGGATTACTTCATGTTATGCAGAGTTTCAAAAATAGAAGAACATTTCTCCAGAAATATGACAATAAAAAGCTTACAATAGTCACCTCCTCTACTCTGTCCTTCATCAATAATTCTTACGAGAAAAAAAAAGTATTAGAAGGTGAAAAAATATTTGGGTATCTGTTTCCCTTATCTCTCTGTTTTTAAACAAAACAGGATATTTTGCATTATAGTTTCAAATCTTAAAAGTAGCAAATACATTTGGAATTTCCTATCATATCTGGAATTAGTTTTCAGCTCTTAAATTTTTCAGCTTTTTAAAAAATTTATTTATTTTTTTTTAGGTAGTTCATAACATTTATTGGGTGCCTGGGGTGTATGGGCCAGTGTAGGATGAAAATGGAAAGTTCTGCACCCTGTCTTTTTTGTAGACTTATGTACACAAGAAAAGCATAGGCCATGAGCTCACTTTGGTAGTCCATATACTAAAACATAGGCCTATGGGCTTGAAGCTATACAAACCCGGAAGCAACTGTGATTGGCGATGTTTGTAGCTGTTCAGAGGGCCAGTCAGAAGTTACTTATCAAGGACTTACTATGAGCCTTCTTTGGACTAAGTAATAGGAAGGACATAAAATAATAGAAAGTATCATTTTTGCCTTCAGGGACTACTTTTCTTATTGGGTAGTCCTTTTTACACACCGGTTCAATCAAAACACAGTAGAAATTATATAAAGTCAAGACCAGGTGTCTGTTACAGATTATAAATCCTACAGGATCAGGTCCACACGGTCTTTGTAGATCAATGTGGGCCTTGTGGAAGTGGTGATGCTTGACTTAATTATGTCTTGAAGAATTCAGAAAAAGAGAAGGGCTAATGTGAGCATAGGTATGGAAACAAGAATGGTCAGGGCTGGATAGGATGGGGTGTGAGGAAGAAAGACCACCTCACTGGATCCCCAGTGTCATCAGCAGTAATGTTTTTCAGGACTAACTGGGTACTAAGTGCATTTCCAGGCATTTTACATTTGGGAAGTCATTTAAGTTTTATGATAACCTAATGAGGTTGGTGTTGTTTTCCCCCCATTTTACCAGTAAGGAAACTGAGGCAAAGAGACCTTAAGTAATATAGTTAGCAGGAGGTGGGGCTGGAATTTGAGTCCAGAATGTTTGGCTTCAGAGCTATGCTCTTAAACTTCTGTGCTATCTCCATAGGGCCGAGAGGGGAGCTAGGCTCCTGAATAGATTTAAAGAGACAGTGAGAGACAAAAATGAAGTTACTTGATGATTTAATTTTGAGAGTCCTATTCACTCAACGCAGCAGTTACACTGGCAATACAGATCAATTTTGGCTGATTTCAGCAAAAATAGGAGTTTATTAAAGAGATTGGATAGCTGACACAATCAAAGGAAGAACTTTTTTTTTCTTTTAAAGGAAGAACTCTTAATCAGATTTTGGAAAGGTCAATGCAGTTCCAGGGGTCTAGAATTTAGGAAAAACCTCTTCAAGGCCTTGACATCAGAGAGACTGAATTTTAACTCTTTTTGGTCACGAGTCATTCTGTTTAAGCTTCAGATTCTAAGGGAAAATGTGAGATTGGCCTCACGTAGGCTTTGTGCCCACGCTCTGCCCAGGGGTGACTGGGAGCAGTTCATACTGGTTGAGAATTGTGCCAGGATTGTATGGCCTGGTGAAGGGGTAGTTTTTCAAAGGAAAATGGAGACATTTATCAAAAGAAAGGCTGCTGAGTAGGCGGAAGCAGTAGATGCCCTTTAATAATAATAGCGCACGCTTATATAGGATTTACTGTGTAACAGGCATTGTTCTCATCACTTTATATATTGTGACTGGTTTAATTCCCACAGCCTCTCTATGAGGTGGGTCCTATTACCATCCCCTTTTATAGATGAAGAAGGAGACTGAATGACATGCCTAACGTGGCACATACAGTTAGAAGTGGTGGGACCTGTATTTGAACCCCAGTAGTTTATCTCTAAAGTCAGTGCTTACCATTACTCTATGCTGACTCCTCAGAAGCCTAAGAAAATTAGAAAAAAAACAAGTGAGCACCCCAGAGAAGTTTGCAAGAAGAGAGAAGATTGGAATCCAGTGTTATTGAGTGGGACCAAGCAAATTCTGGCAAGTGCAGTAGGACAAATGTAAAGAATCTCTTAGATCTATGAGTTGTATTGTGATTATGACCAATTTATTTAATTTTGATTCCCCAGCATTCATTCTACCCCAAACTTAGTCTAAGGCTTGAACCAAATCAGCCTTAGAATCCCATTTCCCTTGCCAGTGATGGCTTTAGAAATGGGGAGGTGATAAGAGAAAAAGTCTTCCTAGGGCTTCTTGATTGGGTTTCTTTGCTTCTGAAAAGAGACTCAAGAAAGATATGTGCTCTCCCCTCTTCCTCCCTTAAACCTCCCCCAGTTCTCAGGACTCTAAGTCCTGAAAGTGCTGAGGGATTCTGCTTACAACCTGAAGTTGAAGCTGACACGTGGAAGGTGGCATGGCCACAGGTGTCACAGAGGAGAGCAGTGGTGGGATACTGTGCCTGGCCCCCATATTATGTAGGAGAGTATGCTTCCTTATTGTTTAAGCCAAATCGAGTTTCTGTTTTCTATTACTCGCAACCAAAGTCTTCCTAACTGATACATTTTCTGTGCCTCATTATTTCATCTATAAAATGAGGGCATTGGCCTAAATGACTTCTAAGGCTCTTGGTTTTTAAAATAAAAAAAATTTTCATATATTAATTAACCCCCCAGTCTTTATTTCCATTGGGTGTCTTTTCCTCTCATTTGACTCTGAATGAGTATTGTCATGAAATATGAGTTTTGAGAACCATCCAAGTATAAGGGCATGGTCATACATGTCAAAGGCAAGGATGAGTTCTAGAAGGATCTGAATAAAGAACACTTTCATTAGAGCAGATTTGGTGAAGTAGAAGGACTAGGAGTCAGGCTGCAGAAGGTAGAGAGAGAGGTAGTGAGAAAGTGACAAATAAAGGTTTAAAGCAATAAAGAGAAAAATTAGGTAGTTTCTTGACAATTGCTTGGAATACTGAGAGAATTGTACTGATCAATTTCAATTCCAAAAGAGGAATTGAAATGAATTACAGCTTTTGTAGTATAAACTGTACTTCCATCAAGATAATCACAACCATTACTACCTCCTACACCTCCCCCCAAAACTTCTCAGGGAAACGAGCATGTGGATAAAAAAATTAGTGCTAAAATGAAAACAGATAGGTGCTTGGCAATAAACAATCTGCCTACAATGGGATAATCTTTAGAAAGCAGATCTCTAACTATGATATAATCGTTGATAATCAAAATTTACTAATATAATTTTTATAAAAGGCTGTGTGTAATCCTAGCGATTAAAGTTACTGCCAATGCAAATGAGAAATTGATGACTTTAAATGAATTATATGACTTGGCTTTCCAGTCCTTGTCCATTGGTCCCTGGATTACATGGAGTCTTTTGTTCAAGAAGGAGGCAGAATCCTTTCTGTTCTTACGTGTTTCTTCTGTTGAAATTGGTTTCTGTTCTCTGCCCTAGCTCCACTCTGTCTGACCTGTTACTCTTTCAGTTCATCAAGTAGCCCACACCTGATCGCCCAGGTGCATTTGCTACTTCCGGCTTGCTGCCCCTGACTCCGGGCAAACCCATGACCCACGTCGCTGCTGGTTCTGCCTGGTCCAGTACCCACTTCTCCCAAAGCTCCCCATATGCCTTCAGGTCTTTCTGCCATCTTAGCACCTCTAGCATTTCACATTTCCCTTCTCTGTTTTACTGTTTTGCTCCTTAGCACTGTCTAGTATACTTATCTATGTTGTTGTATTTTTTAAAAAATATTTTATTTATTTGAGAGAGACAGATATAGTGAAAGGGAGCATGAACAGGAAGGAGGGGGAGAAGTGGACTCCGTGCTGAGTAGGGAGCCTGATGCGGGGCTCGATCCCAGGACCCTGAGATCATGACCTGAGCTGAAGGCAGATGCTTAAGCTGAGCCATCAGGTGCCCCTATGTTGTGTTTTTGTGTCTTCCTTTCCTAGAAGGCTATAGAGAAACTCCCTGCTAGGAAGTTCCCTCAGAGGAAGATGATTTGTCTGTTTTGTTCACTGTAATGTCCCCAATGCCTAGAACAATTACCTGGCACTCAAGGGATATTTGTTGAAGTAATAAGGGCAGGATCCCTGTGTCGAATGAAGATGCTGAATTAAGAGAGTATGAAGCCAAACCTGAGCATAGGAGAGATTAGTTTGGAGATGTCTAGATTCTAATTATTGGATAAATGAAATGCTCTCATTGTGTTAGCAAAACATAGAAAAATTGGCCAAGCAATACTTACCTGTGGGATTTCTTTCATGGATGGATTGTGCACACATATAGAATAACCTATTACATTCAGTCATCACTAATTTGTAATTGCAAATCAGTTCTGTAAATTGTGTTACGCATGTGATGGAACTTCAAATATCTATTGAAATAGAATGAAGAATGAAGAATGAAGAAGTTGTTTAT